TATATATATATTATTTTGAGACTTGCTTTACAATGTTGTTTTCCTAAAAAATTAGTACTATTTTCCAAGTATTACTTTAATGTGTACACACCAAATAAAAATGTAATGACCCGACCTGTCGTTTTGAGTATTAGAGCCACATTCCCCTATTTGATACTTCTTGTATGATTGTTTGATATTTTATGACTTGCAGGGAGAAGGTTCGGAAGTGAATTGTAACACTTAGTTCTATTTTGGAAGCCTTAAGTTGGAATAGTTGACCAAGGTTTGACTTCTGAGTAACCGACCCCAGATTGGTTATTTGAGAGTTCCAATGGATTCATATAATTATTTTTGGACTTGGGCGTGTGTACGGATATGATTTTGGATATTCCTTGAAGATTTTGATTTTTTGTCGAAAGTTGATAATTTGAAAATTTTGAGAGTTCATAAGTTTGACCGATAGTTGATTTTGAGGTTACCGGAATCTAATTGTTGTCCCGGAACATAGGATAGATTCGGGTTGTTATATGGAACTTGTATACAAAATTTCGTTGAGAGTCGAGGTGTGTAGGCATGAATCGTACGCTTGGTTGGAAGTTTAGAAGTTCTTGAACTTAAGAAAAGTTCAACATGGGGTTTGATCATCTATTCTTAGATGCGATATTTTTGTACATGTTGGGAGGCCTTGGGTAGGTCCTGGTAGTGTTTATGGATTTATTGGTACGATTGAACGGGATCTCGAGGGACTCGGGTGAGTTTCGGACCATCCGGAGCATGTTTGTAATGGTTGATTTTTGCTGGTGTCTAGTGTGCATCGCATATGCAGTAGTAGAATCGCATTCGCGAAGAAGGAATTTGGCCTTCGCATTCGCGAAGGTGAAGTCGCGTTCACAAATAGGTTGGGTCATTGGCCTGCGCATTAGCGAAAGAGCTGGTTGCATTCACGAAAAAGTGAGGCGGATGGCCTTTGCGATCGTGAGACTCTTGTCGTGTTCGCGGAGGAGGATTTTTGGGCGTGGCAGATTGTGCTTCGCGAACGCGAGGCAATGGTCGTGTTCGAGAAGGGTATCGCTGGCAGGAGATATTTAAGTCCAATTTCGAAATTTCCCTATTTTTTTATATTTTTGAGTTTTGGAGAACGAGAGAAGTAGATTCTGAAGAGGGATTTCACTATTATCTTGAAGGTAAGTAGTTAGATTTGATCATATATCTTTATTCCCCATGGATTTCTATACCTAAAATAAAGACTTTTAAATTAAATTTTGGAGTTTCTGTCTACAACTTAAGAGAGTATATATTGAGGTTTTAGGCATCGATTTGGACTTGAATTTGAAAGCTAAATACATATTTGAACTCGTGGGATTATAGATAAGCGGGATCTACCCCTAGACTCGAGTTTTGAACATGTATGCCCAGGTTAATTTTTGTTAACTTTTTAAAAATTGATCAAAGATTGAAACTTTATTGTTTGGACTTGGTTCATATGGGTTTATTTGACTTATTTGAGTATTATTTGGTTAGATTTGAGCTGGTTGGAAGTAATTTCTAAAGGAAGGGCGATTTTGGAGGGTTGATTTGGCTTCCAAAGGTAAGTATCTTGACTAGGCTTGGCTGAGGGAATCTACCTTAAGAAATTGTCCATATTTGATTATTTGCTATGTTTTGAGGGAGTTGTATATGCGTGGTGAGCATATATGTGAGTGCCATGGGATATTCATGATCAAGTAGATTTCTAGGCTATTTTGTGCCTTGATTCTACTGCATATGCTATTTATAACTTGTTATCTCTCTTATATGACTATGTGAGCTCTCTTTGTTATGCTAGAAATCCATATTACCTTGTTGATCGGAAATGGCTATTCTTGGCATCTTGTTCTACCTGATTTACCCGTAGTCATATTATTCACTTGCCTACATCATTGTATCTATATTTCTCATGTCCATACATCTCCTTTATATTATTTATGGCACATATGTATATATTTTGTATATGGAAACTCTTATATGGACTGAGGCACGTGAGTTGTCCATGCAATTAGTATGGTTGAGGCACGTGAGATGTCTATGCGATTAGTATGATTAAGGCACGTGAGTTGTCTGTGCTAGTGATATTGTTATGAGCACGTGAGTTGTCCATGCAATTAGTATGGTTGAGGCACGTGAGATGTCTATGCGATTAGTATGATTAAGGCACGTGAGTTGTCCATGCAATTAGTATGGTTGAGGCACGTGAGATGTCTATGCGATTAGTATGATTAAGGCACGTGAGTTGTCTGTGCTAGTGATATTGTTATGAGCACGTGAGTTGTCCGTGCAGCGTATTGATTTCGATCCGTCCCTTCGAATTCAGGTGATCACCCATTGTACCTTGGGCCTTGCATGCGCATATTTAAAGGACACTTGGGGAGTGTCGGCTGTTGGAGGAGTCTTATTCATTCATGGTCATTATAGACTCTTATACTTTGCATTTATAATAATGCTCTGTGATGTATATCATCTTTTTATGTTGATTCGATGAACTAATGTGAGTTTTGATCATCTCTTATCCGAAAGCATGTTATTGTCTCTGTTAGTTGTAACAAATCATCTTATACACTATTTCTGCTAGATTCTTATGTTGTATTTATTTATGGAATGTTCAGGTTATGATAGTAAGTATTAGTTGACTAATATCAATTGACCAATCTCGCCAGTACTTTGCCGAGGTTAGTCTTGATACTTACAGAGTACATTCGGTCTGTTTTACTTATACTGTACTTCTGCATATTTTTGTGCAGATCCAGGTATTGGCACGAGCAGAGCTGAGGGGTAGATCATTGCAGTGCTAGGAGACTCGAGGTAGTGCAGCCTGCTCATCAGCAGACGTCGGAGTCACCATCTTTTCCTATTTTGAGAATGTTGTTTATTTCGGACAGTGTTGTATTTCTTCTTACTATTGTACTTCTGACACTCTTAGAGCTTATGTACTCATTGACACCAATTTTTGGGAGGATTGTATTACGATTTTCCGCTTGATGGTGCTGTTCTAAATGTATTTATGCTATAAATCATTGTTAGACCTGTTATGTTGTGTCATCATGACCGTGGGATTTTAGAGTATGACTAAAAAAGAAAAGGAAGTTTTCAAAGTAATCTGCAGTAATTGACCGGCCTAAAGTCCTCAAAAGGAGTCAACGGGATGATTAAAACTAACAAAAACGCGGTTTTGAAAGGTTTTATATGTGTGAACCAAAACTCTCTGAACTCTCTGGTAGAAATCCTAAGATACAAATGTCATACCCAACACATTTGGACTATATTTGAAGTCATGCTCAGCTCAATTCACTGCCAGAGGAACGAATTTTTTAATAATATTGAACTAATGAGCTTAACTAAAGTGACATGAACAATAAGAATTAATATAATCGATCCTAACTTGTTTGAGATTGAGGTATTATTGTTGTCGGCATTGATGTGGTATTTATGTACTTAGCTCAAGTCAATTACTTTTCTCAAGTACAAAAGAGCATTATGATAGGTACTAGGAATTAAGTTTCTATTCCCCATTTGGCTATGTTTATTATACTTCAATGCGACAATGTTCTTATGATGGAGGTGATTAGGAGTTAATACTTTTCCGTAGATTTAATATTAATGCTCAATTTCAGGTCTATAGAGAAACAAAATGCCCTTGAGCTGTGGGANTAGTGGATAAAGTTCAGTAATTACAATTCGTGATCATGTGCAAACTTATAGAATTTTGTACTTACCCCAGGGAGATCCCCTATTCGAATTGTAGTAGATGAACAGTTCCGTGGCTGGTAGTTGTATTCTGGTGGACCGGAGAAAGGATTGCAGATTTGTGCAACATTTCCATAATCTGTAGATAACCTTTGGTTCACCTGCAGTTATCCAACATTGATAAATACGATGGAATCTTTATTGACAATGGAAATGTGAAGGGCATTGAAATATTTATGTGTGCGCGCGCATGGCTTGATTTATTATATGGTAAGAAATAATATGAATTTTCAAGTTTACCTCGTTAACTATTCGATGTACCCCTTCACTGACATCATAAAGGATTGATTCAGCTGAAACCAATTCATCACAGGGAAGAATTGAGCTCAAACTGCTGTTGTAGGGATCTGACTGGAAATTTTCTAGTGCATGCACTGCATGTATCTCCAGCAAAGCTGCAAAAATCATTTTCTATAATTTATTAGAATCCAAAGTAAATACAGTTTGGTAATGAAATAAATATATATCAGCAAAGAATTGGTTGAGAATAGTTTTTCTTACTTGTCTAAGAAGTAATAAATGCCAAAAAGAAACCAACACAGAGTTGTAAAGATCCAACACAATGTAATGAGCCTGCATTAATCAATTACAAGAATGTATCAGAATTTTGTACAGTACAGTATTTTTGTCTTTTATTTGATTTTGACATAACATACTTACAATTTAAGGGTTCTTCTAAATTTGAATATCCCAAATACTGCAATTAAAATACTCACACCGTTAGTCACTGTACTTAACCAATGCAAAAATATAAAAAGATCAAACTAGATAGAGTTTACCTGATAGGGAAATTACAGCAACCAAGTTTAGAGAAATAACCACTGTAGTCACTATGTACCTGTATGCGCGGATCCGGATTATTTGAGCAGTAAATTCCGAATACTGAATGATTAAACAAATTAAGGAGAGAGACTTACACTATCTTGAGAAGTTTCTCGATTAGTCGTCTATTTTTTCTGGCTTCTCTATGTATATCATCAGCCTGTCTGTCAAGACTCTGAGATGTAGGAATCAAGAAGTGAGCTGCTTCTTTGCCTAAATCAGTTCCTTCTAAGCCATTATTCATTTCTTTCATGGCTTCGGTTGTAGTGTAAATGGTCTCTGATGCCCCATCTGCTGTATCTATTATAATGTCCACTACTGTATCAGTTCTTGAATGAAACTTTTCGTTCCCTCCTAGAACAAGGCCTGTTGCTGTTCTGTGAAAATTGTAAAAGGTGTTTCAGTTGCTTGAATCTTGCATAGTAGTATACTGCTCCCTCCGTTACAATTTATGTGAACCTATTTTCTTTTTATTTAGTGTCAAAAAGAATAAAACAATTTATCTTTATTCAATAATTTATAGCCACACAAAATATATGTGCCTCATTTTACTCCACAAGTTCAAAAGTCTTCTTTTTTTTTTTCATTAAATTCGTGCCCAGTCAAATAGATTTACATAAATTGAAACGGAAGGAGTAGTATTCAAGAAATAAACTATCCATTAGGAGAATGACTTTTTCTTATCACTCTCTCCGTCTGGCAACATTCGAATGTCAAGAGTTAAACGAGTTTTTTCTTTGACCATAATTTTTCATATTCCTTTTAAATATTTTAAATTGTTAATTATTGTGACTTGTAGTAATATTTACTTAGTTTTCAAATATATGAATTTTCAAAAAACTTAAAGATTCTAATATGAATTTACAGTTGAAATTAAAAAAATATTAACTCCCAAAATCTGAAACTGTCTCACATAAATTGAGATAGAGGAAGTATTAACTCAACTCTATCTATTATAACTGTAAAGTCACTCAATTATTTTTTACCACATTAAAATAACTCTTTAATATAAAAAGTAATTAACGTCAGAAAACTCAAGCCCCTATAACTAACTATAGAGTTGCTTTGATGGATGTTGTTATAGTTGCTAAAATTTAGTAACTTTACTGTTATTATGAGAAAAATTAGTTTGTGACTTTAATGTTATAGTAGATAATGTTACCTTTCTATACACACATTTTAAGCCCTTGATGCAAAGAATTGTAAAGTAACTTACATGGGTAAAATTGTCAAGAAAATGGCTGAGAGAATAAGGCAGCGATAGTAGTGTTCACTATGACAAGTTGATCTCTTTTTGAGCTTTCTGTTCTTTCTTTTGCAGCAAAGGATTGAAGCAAGAAGAAATAGTCAATATCCTAAGCCAAACAAGAGCCACACCACAGCAATGGCATAGCCATATATACCTGTAAAGATGGTTGACTGCACCAAATATTAAAATTTAGCTTCTTGAAATAAACTTGTTTCCTACATGACCCAATCTTTCTAACATCCGTACCTAATATCTTGAAATTTAACAAAGTTATTCACATAAGAATCAAAATGATGTACTAATAATTGATAGTACTACTATAAGTGAAACGGCAAAAAGTTTAGAAAATATTTTTCCTATTCGAATTTATCATAGCGATAAATGTAGTTTAACAATGGAATAGCAATTCAAAAATAATTAGTAGGATAGTTTATCCTAAATTGGGAAAATATGGTTTTCGTAAAAAACGTAAAATAATTAATATAATATTTCAAATGTAAAGAAAAATCAATAGCTAAATTTAGAAAGGAAAATAATATTTTAGGTGACATATTAACTACATAGAAGAAAGAGTTTAACTCTTTTTACACTATGTAACTTGTACTTGCTAGTTGCTATAACATGTTAAATCATATTGATAGTGTAAAATTTTGCTAACTTACACTCCAATAATGTTTCTCCGTAATGTCATATCCTCCTTTATATTACTTGAAATTGTCCAAAGGATCAATCCTCACAGTATCATCTGATTGCTGTATGGATCCTGACTCATTCTCTATTTCAACCAATTTTTTTTCTGCAAAATTAAAAAAAATCATTTTGCACAAAAAATGAGAAGAAAACAGGAATGATTAATACACTTTCAGCTAGCTGGGACATAAGTTGCAAAAATGAACAGCGTTTAATTGATAATGCAAGGTTTGCAATAGCGCCCTTAAATATTTCCAAACTCTCGTATGCCTAATTTTGTGATGATAAATGATAATATACCCCAATGGGAAAAGTAGGCTAGGGTTTTGAATATTTATTTACATCTCACTATCGCACGATTAAAATGTTATTTTATGCCTTTGTTTCTCAACCACGTTATTTGTTTCAAATGTCATAAAATATTTAATATTTTAAAAACCACTATCACTGAATTTTATTTATTTTAATACACTTTAAAAATATTTATATAATTATATCATTATAAATTAAAGTAATCACAAATGATTTGTATGATAAATTATTAAGTAATTCGAAAAATAAATAATAACTAATCCGATGTAGTAATGTGTTAAACTACACTGATAGGGTAATAATATACTATTAGTATATATCACCTAGATCCTTTTAAATATATGTCTGTATTGTTGAATGTTGCAAATTTTATGTATTTTATAAATATTTTTTAATTAAAATCTTATAAACTAATAATCAAATTGATCATTAATAATAGCAAAGTATCAAATATAGAAAGGAAGGAGCAAGTTCAAAATTGATGAAAACCTAACCTAACTTTCTCTGTTTTTTTCTTTTGTGTAGCAATCAGGGTAGACTAGACTGTAGCCCCATTTTAGTATCATCTTCTTTCTTCCTTTCAATTGATGTGACTAGTTTGATTCGACATATATTTTTCTTTTAAAATTTTTTTTAAAATTTATAATCGTCATAATATTTGTGTAGCTATAAAATATTTAAAACTTATAATCTTAAATATTCTATAGTTAAATGAGTAAAACAAAAGGTTCAAAATTAAATTATTTTTAAATATAAAAATATATGACTCTTTTTAAAAAAATAAACAAATAAGGGATGTTACAAGAAGAAAAACGAGAGAAATTAACGGTTCTCACTTCTCACCTGATTTAATTATTTGTCCATCAAGACTACTTAAGTTGAAGGAAATGAGGATAGCAACCAGTAGCAGGGATAACCCCACTTTCCTCCTTTGCATCCATTCCATCTTCTAACCTGTAACCTGTCAACTGCCAATTAACTATTTATTGCGACAAATACTAATTAATTTGACTTTTACTTCAAGAAACACACGCAGACAAACAAAAAGAGAGAAAAAAAAAAAGAAGATGGAGCACGTCACTTGAGAATTAATTACTAAATTGGGTTTGTAAATATGGAATTTGAAGTATTTCTTATATATAAGAATAATGATATGATCATTCTTAATACAAATTAAAAATATATATTATAATAATTCTCATACTATTGTTAGAATAAGCTATCATTGAAAAACCAAATATGGTCCTGAGCCGACGATAACAATATTCTATCCTCACAAAAATAAGATCTGCGTAACACACTATTCTCTACCCTATGGTATGAGATAATATTGAATATATATGTCATTATTGTTGTTGATGGAAAACCAATTATGGATATGTTACAACATATCCGATGTTCTGAACAATAAAGGCCAGAAAAGAAAAAGAAGAAATTAAAGAAAGGAAAATGTAATTGTAGTATCATTCATTTCTTCTACTTCCTCCACCAAACTGCTCATAGGACCGATACTACTACACTAACCTACCCCCACTGTCCACACAATCCCATCCCACCTCACGCCCAACGCAAAAAGATAACCAAATATTATCTCTGTATTAATTTATGTAGCCGAGTCTATACTCGATATCAGTAGCTAATAAAATATGATATTAAGAATACAGTAAAAAATTAAAAGTTTTCAAATATAAAAACTATTTTTTTAAAACATATATAAAAAATAATAACACATAATATGAAACATCGAAAATATTAGACTTTAAGTACAAATCTCTTTCACGTATACATACACATTATAATAAAATCTTGAAAGATAGCTAACAAGAGATCATAGGAAGGGAGAGGGGAAAGAGGAGTTACCAAAAAACCAAAAAGGAATTTAGAATCTAAACTCCTATTCAGGTAAGAAAAAAATATTTTCAGACTTATTCATAAAGGAGAAGGATATCTGAAGTTTTTAGGTCATTTTCTTCACGTACGAGGTATACACGTTAGCCAAAATTTTCAACCATTTTAGAGTAATTTTGATTTCCAACTAATCTTTGAAAGTGCTTAATCAGAATCCTATAATTAAGAAGAGACAACAAAACAAGAAAAAAAAAAATATATACACACACACACAATCTAAGAAAGAATTGTCATCTGAGTAGCAAAAACTCTATCTCTGGCTTTCTTCTTCAGCTAGCACTGTGCTTTCTTCGAGGCTTTTCGTCTATACACAACTCAAGGAGATAGCCAAGCTTCTTGTTTTTTGAAGGTGAAGATGATATATATATATATATATATACCAGAATAAAGGGGATTACAAAATAATAAAATATAAAGATGTTGTCTAGTAATATATTCTCCTCCTTCTTTGAAACCTTCTTCTCTGATAGTGGGAGTAGATTGACTGATGATACCTGAATATTTCCGATAATAGGTATAATTGTTTTCTATATTTATCTAAACAGATTCTGTTATTTTGTTCTAGGTAGATAAAATGTACTGCTAGATCTATTATAGAATAGAATCCACTATCTATATCTATTATAAATTCTTCTAAATTTTGGGTAAGGCTTCTAGCAAAACTTTCTGGATAGGTGTAGTTGTTGCGGTTATTGGACATTAATAGTAAAAATTCTTTGCAGTTAAATCTTATATTTGTGAAAATCCTACTCGGTACTCTCTCTCTTTTATTCTATAGACTTGTAAAGTTAACATCTTAGCTAAATTATGAACTGTTATTACCCCGTAACTTTTTTTTTTTTCATCTCTTCTTCCCAATCGTTTAAAGATTTTACTCTTTTCTTAACTTCTATTTCTTTAACCTCACCCCGGCCATGGTTAAACACTTATACCCTTTCTTTAGCAATTGGGTTTTTTGACCAGTTTTTCCTAGGAATTTACAGGTTAATCCATCATATTTGTTAAGAAATTGGGAAGCTAACAATATACTAAGAGTGTTATATAATAATTTAATGTACAGACATAGTGTTAACTAACTAATAATCATAAGAACAGTAAAATACAAACTAATTAACAATCATAAATTTAGTAAAATACAAACTGGTGTAATGTTTATCAGAAACATAATTTAGATAAATATGAATAACTTACATGCTTATAGGAGAGAGATTTCCCTTTCGGGAAACCCGAAAACCTTACTGAAAACTTTGAAAATTACTTCGTACAAGCTGATGAACTTATTTTTCTTACAAGCTTAGAGGAGGAGGGAAAATTACTATATTATACATAGAGGTATTTTACAAAGATGGTTGAGAGTTTTTTGGATAATTTTTGATGAGAGGATGGGTTTTTCGAATGGTTCTTCTTTTTTCGAATGAATCCTTTTCTCTTCCTTCTTCTCCTTTTATAGATAGAGAGTTTGAGTCGAACTTGAAAACTGGATTTCAAAATGTGTTAGGAATCCATCTATCAAGCTTCGCAGGGTACAACTTTGGGCCCCATCTGCACGTTGCTTTTTCGAAGATCCTTTTTTATGCGCCCTTTTAGTCCACTCAACTTTTTTGTCTTGTCTTTTAGTGTCATTGTCTTGTCACATCTTGTGTCATCTTTTTATCTCCGTCTTTTAGCACAGCTGTCTTCTTTTCTGGTACCTGTCTTTTCTTCGTCTTGTCTTTCTTTCCACGTTTTCATTATTGGTCTGGTCTTGTATTGTTGGTCTTGTTCTTTGCCCTGTTCTGATGGTTTTATGTATCTAGATTATGGATGGCTTCTGAGTCGAAACTCATACCAGAATCATAATCATTCGGGTCTTGGGCATCTTGATAATTTAGATAGTCATTAGTTTCTTCAGAACTTTGCTCCCTTCCTGGATTTAATCTCGGACTTGGACTTCTTGGACTAAGACTTGGGTTTTTAACTATATGCTTGTCTTGTTCTTCTTTTTCTTGGAAAAAATTCTCTAATGTCTGTTTAATTATTTTTTCTATTTTCTCATTTTTTTTCCTTTTTGATATCACTCCCTTTTTCTTTAGCATTTCTCCTTGCGTTAAGATCTTTGGTAATCTTCTTCTTGATGGACCTTCATCTTCACTTTTTGGCAAAGTGACAGCCATCAACGGATTTGATTTGTCTTTACCGGTTACCGTTTGAACCGGACTAGCTGTATCACTATCCGATACAGTGGATCTTACTGCATTCATTGGGGAATGCACACCCGTCTCATCCATTTTTGTTTGAGATGGAGAACTCTTTGGACTGTTCATTTCTGAATCTGGTTGTGGTATAATCTGAGTCTGCGAGGTTGTCTGTGATTGTGTTAACTCGAACTTCAATGCTTGTATCCTGTGTTCTAATACCTTTACTTGCTCGATGAGCTTCGTCTTTTCTTGTGTCAAGATGTCATTCTTTTGGTTTAATCGTTTGAAGGCTTCTGTCATTGACGAGCAGTGATCGCAAAATATTATTTTACCATCGTCTTTTCGGATGTTGTATTGAGGGGTTTTTTCTGGATTTTTCTTAGAGCTGGGGTAATATAATAATTTGGTCCCAATATTCCTCTTGCATAATCTAATGCTTCGGTAAAATCATTAAATCCCTTAAAAAGAGGTTTTTCTATGTCTTTAATGGAATCTAATACTTCTAACCATGTCTGAAAAATACCTTTTGTTTTTCCATGTATAACTACATAATACTTAAACCTTTTGTCTTGATTTTGTCTGTAAAATATTGACCCAAAGCGTTAAGTGCTGCTATAAAATATTTAGTGTCTTTTTTATTATATGATATCCATAAGTTATCAATTAAGCACCTTTGGGGTCTGTCTATGACACATTCTGGTAAAATTCTAAAAGACATATTAGATGGTGGAAAAAATATAAGACTATGTTTCCCAAAATTTATTCTTTCTAAATTAGTCTGTTCTAAGAAAGACTGTGGCTTAAAATGGAGATTACCTAAAACTGTCTGTAAATATTTGTCTGAGGGTGAGGCTTGGATGCCCTTCCCTTTGTCTGTAGTCTTTGAAACTGCTGGTCTCATGCTGTACATACAAAATATGCTTTGTTAATTGATCATAATTTTAAGTCGACTTAATTGATCTGCTAAATTATTAGCTTTTCCTTTAATATGTTCAAAAACTAAGTTATATATTGATATAGTATCTATAAAATTTAACCATCTTCTTTTACTGCTATTTTTTGTATTTATTTTTTGATGAAACTTTACTATTGCTTCACAATCAGTTCTAATTGTTACTTCCTTTTTGTTTAATATGTATAATTTAAAACTATTCAATCCATAGATTACTGCTAATATTTCTGCATCTATATTACTCATATTTCCCTTTTCTTTATATTTTCCACTTTGATAAGCACATATTTTTTCTGTATTTTTGTCACTATATTTATTTGGTTTTGCTTTTAAAACTGCTCCCCATCCTTCAAAACTACCGTCTGTTTCTATAATTAAATAGTCTGTTTCTAATGGCATGTTTAAGTCGGGGATATTCCTTATCTTTTCTTTAACTTTTTGTACTAGTTTAATGTCCTCCGTGTTAAAGTGTTTTTGTCCTGTAGAGCCTGTCTTAGCATATAATGGCCCCACTATTTTTCCTAAATCTTTTATAAAATTTCTCATATAGTTCACTATACCTAAGAATTTTTGTAATTCTTTGGTCTTATCTAGTTTATCTGGCATTTCTAGGGCCTTTTTAGCAATATGAGGTTGTAATTTTATTTTTTCATCCCCTAAAATTACTCCTAGAAAGTTTATATAATTTTTGCATAATTCCATTTTCTTTTTACTAATTATTATTCCATTGTCCACAAATAATCTAAATACAGTCTGTAGATGTCCTAAATGTTCTTTAATATCTTTACTAAATACTAATATATCATCTACATATACCAAGACAAATCTCTTATATTCTCCAAATATATTATCCATCTTTCGTTGGAAAATTGATGGAGCTGTCTTTAATCCAAATGGCATTACTAACCATTCAAAATGTCCTTC